TCTAAACATCCAACAGCCTCCATAATAATTGTAATATATGTTCAGTTGCGCATGTATTTTTGCTCCAAGATCCCAGTCCGATCAGCACGACCATTAATACTCTTGTACACCTTCAGAAATAGGAGAACAAAGACTAGATTATGGTCATGCGCATCAGAGTATTTCTTATAGGGATTAAGAATGCAAGATCAAGGAGCTATATGGAATGGGAGCTTCACAAGAGATCTAATGGATCTACATGGAGAAGCACAGACGTAAATCAAATTGATTAGATCTTGGTTAGGAAAATGTAGTTCCGTGTCTGAAATTAAGCTAAATAAACAAGATGAGAAAAAGCACAAAGTCTAAGATCAATGAAGTTGAAAGAACGGTGTACTTAGAAAGAAAAAGCAGAAAAATACATCTAGATTGACAGAGGTAAGATGATGAAGACAAAACTAATACATTTTGAGCCATTTGGGGAAGACCATCTGTGGATGGGAAAACAATTGTTGCTCATAGATGCTGTGTATTGAATGGTGACTGAACAATATACATCCCTAATTATAGGCCTGTACCTTTTTCATCTTTGACTAAAACAGGATGCAAATGACCACCATGAAGGGAAAAGTCATTTTAAGTTACCTCTCTTACTAAGCTTCCAGGCAGATGCACGAAAAGATACCATGCATATGGCTAATCAACCATAGCGAAATAACTACGACCAGAGGTTAACCAATTTAAATCCTCTTGAACCCCATTAAATTTTCTGTAAATATTAAGCAAAAATATTTAGGTTGATCATGTACAGATAGAGTATGATAGAGGGCAAGAGAGAGGGCAAAAGAGAACCGTGACTAGCGTCTAATTCTTCATTGTTCATAGTTTATTTACTCATCAAGCAAGTGGAACAATGTTAACAAACTGTAGCGAGGCAATTTCGAACTCTCCCTTGTTCATTCTTGACACTTGTAGATTTTGAATAGGATTGGAGAGAAATACAAATTTTCATTTCACCATAATCTACTTTTTAAATGGCCTTGTAGCTTCTACCTCAATGTGTTTTGCCGCCATTTTTCATGTAAATTTTATTTTAGATGTTCTGTGGTTTTTCATGTAGATTGTAGTGATTTACCTGATCAATGTCTAATGTTTATCACTAAATCTGCTTGATCTGGCCTCCTCTATGTAAGTAATAGGATGCGTAAGAAGAAACTCTTTACTTTGTGTTTTTATCTGACGCATTGTTATGATAGTAACAGGCAATCTTTATCGCCATCTCCTTAATACGCCAATGGTGCCCTTACATCATGGTTCTCAGGCGGCACCATATAAAGCCCCATCTCCAGCGTCCAAAACTCTTCTGAAAAATGGAGCTCCTTTTTAACCATATACCCCATAACTCCGATAAATTTCATCAGATTCATATGACCATCTTTCAGAGTCTGTCTCTACACTTATTCGTGGTCCCAAGATCCAGAATCACTATTTTAGCTAGATGCAGAAACTAGGATCATTTTTTGTAGTGGGGGAGGCATGATGTTTGAGTTTTCTAAAATTAGGAATCTTTATGCCTCAAGTGCAGAAGAGGTAAAAGAAAGCTTCAATAATTTGAGGAACAACGATCTGTCAGCATCATGCATGAAGGCCAAATAAAACTACTACATTGAGTTGACAAACACATGTATGTAAGGCCTCGAGACTTTCCTAGTTAGAATACTACCTTAATTTTATGGTTGTTGTTCTTATTATTATTATTACAATGTTAACATGGGAGGATAGCATTTTATTTAGTCAAAGATGACGAGAAAGATTGAGAGAGAAATTAATATGTCATTGTCCTATCCATACATCTCTCTCTCTCTCTCTCTCTCTCTCTCTCTCTCTCTCATCCTCTATTTCTCTGCAGCTCTCCTCTATTCTCCAATTCCACATGCTTCTACCCCTTATTTTCTACCTCTTCACCATTCTCCTCATTCTGCTTGGAAGCAACGACAGAAGAAAGATGGACCCAGGGCGTTCGGTATTCCTCGCTTCATTACCCTACTCCACCCATATTCAATTCTAGACTGGCGGTAGGACAGAGGGCTGTTGCCGTGCCGTTGTCAGTAGCACACCTACATGCCAAATTATCCTAGGCTCAAATGATCAATTGTATCCAACAAGTCAAGACATTCATTCAAATACAGTCCTCTCTATGGTTGTGATACGACCCCACTACTGACCTATAGAAGGCGTAAGAAGAAGTCACATGCTCAGCACATATGAGGGGTATAAATACAGCACAATAAGGGGGGACAAGGGAGGAACATTGTAACTTGGAGAGGCAGGGAATTCTCTCAAACATTTTTCCCATCCTTTACTCTTCTTCCCCCCTTCTTTTCCCTTAATCTTGATAGATTGTCATTCTAATGCACTGGGTCTCATCATTGATGAGATTTTATGAGTTCAATACAAGTGTTTTGCCTCTCTGGTTTCACTCAAATTCGATCCTCACATAGACGATCGTATCATTGGTATTAGAACCGTGATCTTGCAAATATAGGCACCATGGTGCCAAAGATATCTGATGTCTATTTTGAAGCCTTAGAAGCAGACAATGAGAACCTATGGGAAAATCAACAAAGGATGACTAAAGACTGAAATAAACAGAGGAATCCACAAATCTAACACACTAACTCCTACAAAATATGCAGCAGTTTTACCGATAGTAGTCAAAACCATGACCTGAGGTACAACCTCCTTTCCTTAAGAACATATTCCGAATGAGACTACAACAGGTCACATGGTCATCTGGTTCACCCGAAAGGAGGAAGTACAAGTATTCCAAGGGGGAAATCTTGAGGAATGATTAAGATATACTAAGAAATTTTTTAGATTAAATAAGGTACATGATCAAGACTAATTAGAGTTAGCAATGATGAAGCTCGAATGTCTGGCATTAGAGTGGTACTTATGGAAGGATGAAAGATATTTATTCCACAACTAGCAGGATTTCATGATGCAATTGAGAAAATGTTTTGATATTACTACAATAGGAAACATATTTCATAAATTCTTAAATCTCCAATAAGAATAGTCAATTCAAAAATATTGAGCTGAATATGAGTATTTATCTACTTGTCAAAACTTGAAGATATTATAATAGAGAATAGTTATATGAAAGGCCTGAAATCAAAGATTCAAATAGAGCTAACACACATAGATCAATGGGATTGATGGAGATGATGGATGCTTCAATAGAGGCAAAGTAATGTATTTACACTCTATGGGAAGCTTGGGACAACCATCTACCCAATTTTTTTCAGCAAGGTAATTTTACTTCAAGTGAGATTATTGACAATCATTTACCTACACTATACACTGACTAGGAAAAGAATAGAAACCTAACCTCCCTATTGAAATGGAAGTCCAAGAGTAATCCTCCACCTCAAGTGCTAGGAAGAGACAACAAGTACCAAAACTGATCACATTGACTGATATAAAATACTAGAGCCATAATGAAAAAGGACTTTGCTATCATTGTAAGGAAAATTTTGACCCACGACATCACTACAAGAAACAAGTATAGATTTTGATAGTTCATGAAGATGACCAAGAGACTGGTGACAACATCTTATATAATTCCAAGGATGAGGTAGAGCAACCAACAGAAAGAGGGACAATATTCACAACACAAGTCTCATTGAACTTAGTGGTGGAACTCACTCAAACAAGAACCATGAAGATGGAAGGAACATTACAAGGGCATGTGATTACCATCTTAATTGATTTAGGTGCAATGTATAATTTTATATGCTCATAATTATGTGCACATTTCAATTTACATCACATAAAAGCTATGAATTATGAAATTCTCATGGGGAATGGTGAGGCCCTACAAGTTAATAGAACTTGTAAAAAATTATTTTCACAAGTCCAAGGTTTAGACATCACCAAAGACTTTTTACCACTCACACTAGAAAGTGTTGATGTGGTACTCAAAATACAATGGCTAAGTTTCACAAGATGGATGCATGTGAATTGGACAAAATTAACTATGAATTTCATAGTAAATGAGGTGATGAAAGTCCTCAAGGGAGAACCAAAGCTGTCCAAATCAGAACTATCATTAAAGATGTTGTAAAAAACCATTAGGAAACACCCTCTATTCCTCCCAAAGTTATGTCAAGTGTAGCTACAAGATGAAACAACAAGTACCACTATCATCTACTTAATTGAATCTCATTTCAAATAATTATTTCCATCTATTTGTTCACTGACGTGACTCAATCGTTGTATAGTAAATCACGTAAATTTAAAATTTATAAAACTAGAAAATACGATTGTTTGGATATTTAGAAGTATTTCTGAACAAATCTATCAATTATAATTCAATCAAACTTCTAAAAATAGTAATAATTTTTCAAGTCAATCACAAGTATGTAATATAATATCTGATAATTATTTAGAATTTTTCTCAATAAATATGATTTTTTATAAATTTTATACTAAGAAATAAAAAATATATATTTAAAATTTATGAAAAAGGAAAATAAGGGTGCAGACGTCAGAATGATGTTAGCACCTAGTGAATGCGAATCAGGCAGAAACAGAATTCTACTTGGTGATTTTTACGTAAGTGATTATAGACGATTTAATTAATCAAATTAAGATCTATACAAGCCAAAAAAATCATAATTGAACAAAGTATATTTTGGTAAATTAAAAACATAAAAATTATCACTAAATGAAGTTTAAAGTAAATTGAAAGTAGTAAAATAAAGTTCCAACGTCACGATGACGATGCATCAGAGATGCACTGAAATCTTGAGCGTTCGGGATGATCGTCATGTAGTGTCCATGACCTCAAAAACTCTCCTTGGACAAAGATGTCATAGGCAATCTCTAGATGTCCTTATGAATTCTAGAGATCAATGAAGTGGGTCATCGAATCATCTCCGGCAGCTATCACCTGACGGAGTAGAAAAATGGTGACTTTGCAGCTCTCTAGCAGTTGTCACCCAATAGAGAGGAGTTGGATGGAGGTGGGGCGCATGTCAGAGAGCTTCAACTCAGGTCCACACAGCAAGAGGAGGCTCTTCATCGCATCTAGTACACTCTTAGGAGGTGGTGACTCGTCTCCTAGTGGATTGTCCTCTTCTCAACGATGGCTTGTTCGTCGATCAATCGGAGATGATTTACTCGATAGATTCACGATCCTTTTATCGCTAATCCTTCAGCAATTTTAGTAACAATACTCCACGAATCGCATTGACGAGATTTTTGCCGATGATCCAACAATTCTAGTTGCTTAATCTTTCACCAGCAATCTGCAGAAAAGTCGCGATAATCAGATAAGAATATGAGTTTTGGCTCTAGGAGGATTCGAACCTGTGCTAGTTGCCCCCCCACCTCTTCTGAGGAAGGTGATAGGTTTAGTCTCACATCGGTTGTGCGCTGAATTTTCAGGTGAATATATAGTAATGTTACATTTCTAAGCAAAGTCCCTTTCTCACACATGTACGACCACTCCTTACCCCACAGCTAGCTGGCCACCTGTGACATGAAAGGTGAGTGGTGCACATGTTCCCCCATTGGTTCAAGCTGCTCAAGCCCTTGCTCACGACTACTCTCGACTGTGCTTCCGACCTACTTGTTGGCCCGGCTGGCTAGTGGGTCTCCCCTCATTTTGTCTTATTTTTATTTTTTATTTCTTTTTCTTTATTTATCTCAAAAGTAAGATTGTAAAAATCATATAAATTTATATAAAATCACATGATTACCAAAAAAATCACATTAATCAACTAAAAACCACTTTTCACACTTTAACACAAATATAGATCTATTTATCATGAGTTAAGGCTAAAACTGTATTATTTACTAATTATTAACTCATGATAGTGAAGACTTATCATTCACCCATAATTAAATTACCACTAGAATGCGAAAGGGAACCATTTAATCAATATTGTTCAAGGTAGTAGACCTGTAAACCTGTGACCTTATCGATATTCTTATTTTTAGAAGAACAAAATTGAAAAGCTAATACACAAGCTTCTGTCAACATATTTTATTCAACCCTTGCAAAGTCCTTATGTAGGTCCTATCTTATTGGGGAAGAAAAAGAAAAGTAGATGATGATTTTGTGTGGACTATTGTGTCTTAAATAAGGTAACAATTCTATATAAATATCCTATACCTATTGTAGATGAGGTGGTAGACAAATTACATGGTATGAATATTTTCTCTAAGTTGGATTTAAAGTCAAGATATTATCAAATTCGTATGAAAGTTATAGATGTTCCAAAGACAACATTCAAAACTCATGACATATATTATGAATTTGTTGTTATGCCCTTCGAACTCTCAAATGCATCAACAACTTTTCAATTGCTTATAAATGAACTATTTTGACTCTTCTTTGAGGAAGTTTGTGTTCATATTTTTTGATGATCTCTTAGTTTATAGTTGAAATAGTAGGATCACAAAGCACACCTGATGCAGATCTTTGTTGTCTTATCTACGAACAACCTTTATATCAATGTTAACAAGTGTCAATTCATCCAACCCTACATTGAGTATCTTGGCCACTAGATTTTTAAAGAGGGTGTTATTATAGATAAGGGAAAGATTTTAATTATGCTCCATTGGCCACCTGCAAAAAATATTAGAGAGCTAACAAGTTTTCTAGGCCTCATAAGCTACTATAGAAAATTTGTAGTCAACTATTATTAACAAGAGGAAGAGAAAACCTTAGAATTAATATCTTGAAGAAGAGGAGTACATGTGGTTATATAGAAGAAAGGAAGAAAGTGAGAGAGAAGAAGAAGTAGAGATGATGGAAGAAAAATAAAAACTTGGAGATAATAAGTCTAAAATAGGCTTAGTGGGTCTAGTGGGCCTATTTTAACATTCTCCCTCAAGTTAGAATATACAAGTCAAACATGTCTAACTTGATGCATGTTGCGTCATAGAAAATCTTTGCAAAACTCTTGGTGAAAATGTCTATGAGCTGATGAGATAAGACAATGTGTAGAATAGAGATAACATCTAACATTACCTTATCTAGATGTAATGACAGTCAATCTTGATATACTTTGTTTGCTCATGAAAAGTAAGATTCACAATAATAAAAATGGTGGCCTGATTATCACAATACACAGGCATTAACATAAGAGATGAGATGTTAAGGTCTTCGAGGGGTGAATTGAGCTACACTATTCTTCACACCGTCTCAACCATGACATGATACTCAGACTCAACACTAAAGTAAGATATCATATTCTACATTTTGGAGTATCATGTGACAAGGTTGTCACCCACATCTATGTAATAATTAATGGTGGACTTGCAATCTCCTTTGTCACTAATGTATCATGTATCTGAGTAAGCTTCAATCCGAAGATGCCTATATCTTCAATAGATAAGACCTCTCCTAAGAGCTCTTTTGATGTATGTAAGAACTCATAACTTTCCTTCTTAGTGAACTTGTCAAAGTTCTTACATGAACTAACTAAAGACACTAACAACGTACACAATGTCGGGGTAAGTGATGGTGAGATAAATCATTTTTCCCAACAACCGTCTATACCGATTAGCATCTTCTAGAATTGGAGATGATAAATCTTAGAAGCATGGACATGCCTCTATAAGTGATGACCGTGACTTATACCCAAGTAGCCTAGTCTCCTAAAGCATATCAAGAGTATACTTTTGCTAAGAGAGAGTGAGTTTGTCATCTTGATAGGTGAGATCAATCACAATAAAGTATCATGGAACCTTCATATCTTGTATACTAAAATGTTACTCTAAGTATGATTTGGCAGCTCGAATGTCTACTTCATCACTTATTGTCACAAGAATATTGTCCATGTAAACACCTAGAATAATAATGTTGGTTTCAGTAGTCTTTGTAAGTATGCAAGATCCACAAGACATGGTGAAAATCCGAATTACACTAGAACATTACTAAATTTGGTGAACTAAGTACGTGAACTTTAATAAAGTCCATAAATGGTGCATTGCAAAAGACATACCTACGATGACTACTCTTGAACAACATATCTAGGAGGTTTGCTCCATAAACACCAATTCCTCAAAGTCACCATAGAGAAACATCCAATTGATGTAAAAATCATGTTTGGTTCACTACAAAGAGAGTATCACTCGAATAGTTTTGAACAAAACCACAAGAGAGAATGTCTTAGTGTAGTCAATGCCATAGGCTTGCATGAATTCACAAGCAACCAAGCGAGCCTTGTGATGTCCAATAGATCTATCTAGATTATACTTGAGTGTGAAAACTCACTTGCACATGACAATGTTGGCATCACATGGATGAGATATAAGTGTTTAAGTTTTCCAAGACACCAAGATATTCACCTCCAAGTCAATAGCCACGTTACATTCAGGTACATGTGTAGCTTTAATATACAATTGTGGAATTGACTTGGAAGTCACAGAAAAAACAAAGGTACAAAAGGAAAGAGAAAGACAGACATAAGAAATAAAGTGAGAAATAGGGTGTATAGTGCATACACATGTATCTTTGCAGAGAGCAATAGGAAGAAGAAGGTCATCCATTTGAGTGTGAGAAGAAATGATTGAAGGAGGCTCATCGGACGAATCTAATCTCAAAATAGAGGAGTTCAATGGTGACAAAGTAAAAGGTGTCGAAGGAAGAACTAACAAGGAAGAAACTGAACAAGTAGAAAGAGTAGGAAACAGATCTACAATGATCACCTCAAGAAAAAAATTAGGTGGTGAAGATACATCAAATCAAAGAAGAGTCAATTTAGAGAAAAAAAGAGAGACTCCTCATGAAAAATAATGTCAATTGATGTCACATAGCAACGAATCAAGAAAATAGATTTGATAACTCTTTTGTGTTTAAGAGTAATCAACAAAGACCTCTTTGAGAGTACAAAAGGCTAATTTAGAAAGAAAAAGAGAGTAGTCTTAGACAAAAATAGTGCATCCAGAGACACGATGAGGTAAGAAAAAAAGAAAGAATCAAGTGAAAGATGATAAAATGGAATGGCCCCACTAAGTGGAGTAGAAGGAAGCTGATTCTAGAGATATGTGACTATTAAAAGAGCGTTAGATCATAAATAATGAGAAACATCTATCTTAATAAATAATGTGCAAGTAATGTCAAATAGTTGGCAAATTTTTATTCAACAACACTATTTTGTTGGTGATGTATCACTCATATGAGTAGAGGCCCCTAAGTCAATAATCTATGATGAAGATGAAGATGCAAGGAGAGTGTGTGTACCTAATATGAAAGGATTTGAAAGTGATGCCAAATTGGTTGAAGAATAAGCCATGTTACCACTAAAATGACGTAGAGCATCATACTCGACGGAGGTTAATGTCACCTAAAAAGTCAAAGATGAGACACTAAATGACGTCAAAGAAGCTAGTGAAGAAGGCAAGATAGCTAATTGAGGAGAGTTGGGCTTCTCAAACTATTTTTTAATATCTATCAAACAGGTGGTTTTGCTTGTCGCAGTAGATACACAAAGGAAAAGAATTGCGGCCCTTCTCTCATTGCTGATGGCCACTATCTAGTCTCAAAGCAAGAGGGTCACGTGGTGTTTAAGAAGTGGAGACGGCCATTGTCGAAGGAGTAGTTGTGATGTTGGCGATAGTAAGAGGAGTGCATGTACTCACACAGTGCAATGGAGAAAATGTCAGAGATATCATGTACTTAATCTCTAAAGATGATTGTCTCACGAATCTGAGAGATAATTGATGAGTGAAGTCTACTCAAATAGACTCCGGCAAGAAACTCTTGACAGTAGTACTCGAATGTCCAAAGGTGAATGAATGGGGGTTAATAGATGGTAAACTCTTGTATCAAGGCCTAGAAACGATCAAAATGAGTCTAAAGTAAGGAGTTGCCTTGTTTACAAGTAAAAAATAACTTGAAGATCTTGACTGTGTGACTAATATTTGTTCGATTGACATACGAGTTCTCTAATGCCATCTAGAATTATTGCACATGATGAATCTGAGCAAGAGGCTTGACAATACTCAGCTCAATACTTTGAAGTATTTAAGTAAGGATGGCTAAATTGAGTTGAGATCATGAAGTAAAAGACAAATTAGTGAGGTTGGGTGAATCAATTGACAAGTGGTGGAGAAGGCTATGTGACATCAAGTAGTGCTCGAATCTAGAGGCCCATGATGAATAATTATGTCTATTGAAAATATATGCCAATCAAGTGAGTTGTGCCATGAGCCATGTAGTAGCCGACTTGATCGAAGAGAGAGTGATAACTGGTTGAAGAATTGGTAGAAGAGGCGCCAGAGACATCGAGGATTTGCCCACTAGATCCATAGATCAGGATTAGTGGGAGATGAAATGACGTTGGGCAGAAACGTCCCTAAAGCCGCATAGGGAGCTAGAGGTGACACGTAGGGCGCCAAAGGTGGCATTGGGAGGCAGCATGTGTGGTGCTTATAGTTAGTGCACAACGCATTGACAAAAGATGGCACCATCAAGCACATCGAGCAAGCGTGCAAGATGGTGTTAGGCAAGTGCCAAACAAGCACACAGGTGTGCACAATAGGAGGTGAGGCATGCATGCAAGGCTACATAGACTGGGCACTAGGTAGATGGGCAAGGCAGCACTATAGGAGATTGCATCAGGAGAGGATAGGTGATGCCGAGATATGAGAGGGGGCAGATTGATGATGGCGAAGAAATCCTAGGTTTATGATACTATGTTGACAAAAGGAAGAAAAAATCTTGGAATTAATATTTTGAAGAAGAGGAGTGTATGATGTTATATCGAAGAAAAGAAGAAAGAGAGAGAAAAGGAGTGGAGATAATGGATGAAGAATAGGGACATAAAGAGAATAAGTCCAAAATGGGCTAGTTGGCCTAGTGGGTATATTCTAACAACTACACTTCAATTGCTTGGCCCCTCACTTCCCTACTCAAAAAGAATTCTTATATATTGAGCCTAACTTCTCAAGCAACATTTTTTCAGCTCGAAGAGACAATGACAATTATACTAGTCTTAGCATTACCTAACTTTTCATTGACGTTTGTTTCTCAAATAGATGTATTTGGACATAAAGTGGGTAAAACACTTATGGAAACTAGAAGACTAGTGACTTTTCACAGTCAAGTCCTTCCCTATAAATATCAATTCAAGTCAGCTTATAAAAGATAGCTCATTGTCATTGTCAAATCAGTGCAAAAATAACAACACTACTTAATTCATAGCCCCTTTACTATCCAAATGAATCAATACAATCTAAAGTATCTTCTTGAATAGTAGTATATCCACCTTCAATATCACAAATGGCTTGTCAAATTATTATGATTCAATTTTATTATCAAGTATAAAGAGGGATGACTTAACACTATTGATGATGCCTTGTCTTAGACACCTCATATGGGGGAGCTAAGGGGTGACTTCAGTCTCTCAACCCCACTTACTAGAGACTACTATTGTTCAACATGAAGTTGTAAGGAATAACAAGCTACAAGCTATTATGTATTTACTTACCAATGGGTTGGAGGTCCCTCACTTCTCTTTGCATCATATGATACTTCTCTACAAAAATAGGCTAGTATTATCATCTAATTCATCTTAATACGACTACCATTAAAAGAAGCCATGAATCAGAGGCCATGAGGGATTCTTATGCACATATAAGAGACTTACCCAACAAGTTTTTTAAAAGGACATGAAAAAGGCTATTAAAGAGCACGTGGAAAACTACCAAGTCTACTAGCGGAACAAAGTTTTATATTTATCTCCCACAAGTTTATTACAGCCACTACCCATTCTGCAAGAGGTATAGGAAAACTTTTCTATAAACTTTATAGAAGGTCTACTTAGATCCAATGGTTTTGATACTATATTGATCATGGTGAATTGCCTTAGTAAGTTTAATCATTTCATTCTCTTAAAACATCAATTTACTACAACACAAGTGGTGCAAGTTTTTGCCAAGGAAGTAGTCTGTCTACATAGTTTGCCTAAAACTATTGTTTTAGATCATGATAAAATATTTACCAACAATTTTTGGCGTGGGCTGTATAAATTGCAAGGAACTCAATTCCAAATGTCATCATCCTACCACTCTAGGCTAATTGACAGATCAGGGTAGTGAATAGATCCTTAGAATCCTATCTAAGGTGTTTTGTGTTAGATCGGCCAAAGGACCAACAATCTTGACTACAGTAGATAGAACTTTCCTATAATACCACTTATCACTCTTCCATCAAGTCAACTCCATATAAAGTAGTTTTTGGCCATGATCCCCTGACCATCATCAACTATGAGTCTTTCTCCTCTACAATTTTAGTTGTGGATCAACAATTGTCAGCCAACAGAATTTCAAGTCAATAATAATATTTATTTACAACTTCATTCTTAGAGAATGAGATCTTTAGCAAGCAAGGTGAACAAGAAGCTTTCTCCAAAGTTCTTCAAACCATACAAGATCATCTCTCGAGTGGGTCAAATAACATACAAGCTTGATCTTCCACAATCACCATCAATTCATCCAATGTTCCATATCTCTCAACTACGGCAAGCTTTATCAACAAACAATTTCCTCCCTCAAAAGCTCCCACCTTCACAAACTCCCCACTAGTTCCTAGGTGGTTCATAGCTGCACATGATGAAGTGGGCATCAGAGTTGCACTACACACACCCATAGCCAATCTTCTTTGTATTTTGCCAAACAACTTGAGTATAGTGATCACATACCTTGTTTGGTTGACACGAGTTGCTATTATAGTCATAATACTACCTCTCATCCAACCATGACTTCACGACACCTCTAGTAGTGTATACGTGACCTCGTCTATAGAAGATGTTCTTGCCATATGGCCGCTGAGAGTGCCCTAGCCTGTAGTTATCAACCCTTTCCTAGGCAAAGTCCCATGCATCCACCTCGAGCTTGAGGTCCCATGTGAGAGGCCCCATGCCCACTACCGATCGAGTGGCATTGTGTGGTCTTAGGTAGTCAATAGGTGAGCTCTGGGCATAGGCAAGGAGCCGAGAGAAGCTTAAGGCAACCATGACGACTACTATAGATGATGGCCACCTAAATGCCATCTTCATCCTCTCCCCACCTCATTGGCAGTTCTTCAATTCAAATGGGGATCCAAATGATGTAAGATGAATATGACTAACATGGATGAAATGGGTAGGAAACACAATTGGTAAATAACAAGCCACAAAACTCACACACGATTGGATCTGAACCTTTGAAAATCGATTGTGATAAGGTGAGAAGATCATTCTGCTCCTCGATCGAGGGCAGGAGGATTGTCTCAAGTCACCGTGATAAAACCAAGCTCCACATTTAAAATCTTAGTTGGCCTCCAAACAAGAAAATTGTAGCCCACTTGGCTGATCTCGACCCCATACGGCTAAATCTAATGGCGATGGAAACACATATGAGGAAAGATCGGATGAAATCAAAACACACAACCACTAGAGAGGGTTGAGAGGGGACCTTCAGCATTTGCTCACCACAATGTTGACATCAATGGCAGGGTAGGGCGTGCAAGGTGTGCACAGTCGACATGTAGGGCAGAAGGTTGGTGTGCAAGGCAAGTCATAGTGGCACGTCTGCCAGGCATGGGACGTGCAAGCCCTTAGGCAGGATGCACAAGACACGTGAGCGCCCATGGGAGGCTTGTACGTGGTGCGTTGCTGGCGCTCCAAGGGACGCTGATCAGCACATTTTTTGGCACACAAGTGCTGACAAAGAGACCCGCTGGCGATGACAAAGAGAGATGACCATAGGGTAGTGGGGGGGCTGTGAGATGGTAATGGCTATAGGTAATGACAGTCACATGGATCCCTTAGGGCACAATCTCTCATATAAGAAAAGTCTTATGAAGATCAAAACCATCATTCAATAGAAATTGTAGGCCTATTTATAGGCCTCAAGAGGAGAGAGAGGATTACAACCTAAAGTAAATAAAAAGAAATCAAATATGAGTAAATCCTAATAGTAATAGAAGTTCAGATCTAGAGCTCAAGTCTATTAGTGGCAACGTGGAGTGGCCTTGATAGTTTGCGGGGTCTCCAAAGGAGGTGATGTGGAGTCCAATGATGTCGTGGTTGCCGATGGTGGGGCTAGGGTCCATGCCCCACCACCAAGATGTAATACTTATAACATTTTTTTGCCGAGGCAACATCAATCACTTACCATAAAAAAACCAATAAAATTAAGAAATGAAAAATATAACTAAACATCTACGACACAATGTCATTTTTATGACACATCTATTCCCTTGCTTAAGAAAGTTTTTGCATGCTTTCAGCTCAACTACTCATAGTGAATAGTCAAAGGGGAGCACTACAATTGTAATTTTAGTTATTTCTCACACTAGGAGATGATTTGCTTTCATCTCTTTAGCTAAACTTATGAATTTTCTTTAGTAAACGAACTATTATAATATCTATGGAGAATGATTTTGAATCCATGGAGTCATATTTTAATCCTATCAAAAGTCGCTTACGTTAAAAGAGTATTCCATCCCTAGTAAGACATGTCAACATATATCTACCATCTTTGGATAAGAGCACATGTTTACGGCGTATCAAATCCTCAATCATGCATAAGAAGTTAGCTGCCAGCACATTAACACCGATCACACCTCCTAGTATGGAGGTTCAATCGTCATGCGTCTAGAGGAGAACCATCTATCGTATTAATATTTCATACTTCACTTTAGATATCTAAAATCGTAAATTTCATCACTAAATTATTCATGAAAGTGATCCTTTTAGATTTAAGGTGGACTTCTATAGCTCATTGAGCATAGGTATTAATATCACTCAATTTAAATTTCTACCTCTCAAAATGCCAACAACCATGGCAACATACCCAAAAATAGGAAGCCATGATTGATAAGTCTTCATTATCATGAGTTAATAATTAGTAAATAATATAGTTTTAGCCTTAACTCATGATAAATAGACTTATATTTATGTTAAAGTGTGAAAAGTGATTTTCAGTTGATTAATGTGAATTTTTGGGTAATTATGTGATTTTACACAAAATTATATGATTTTTACAGTCTTACTTTTGAGATAAATGAAGAAAAAGAAATAAAAAATAAAAATAAGACAAAACGAGGGGAACCCGCCAGTCAATCGAGCCTACAAGAGGGTCAAAAGCTCAATTAGAGAATAGCTGCGAGCAAGGGATCGCGTGGCTTGTATCGATAGGGGAATGTGTGCACCACTCTCCTTCCACGTCACCAGTGGCCAACCAATTGTGGGGCAAGGAGTGATTGTACAAACAAGAGAAGGGACTTGTTTAGAAATGAAACATTAGTAGATATTCACTCGAAAAATTAGTGCACAACCAATGTGGGCAGGCAACCAACACGAGTTTGAATCCTCTTAGAGTCAAAATTCATATATTTTGATCTGATTATCATGACTTTCCTGCAGATCGCTAGTGAAGAATTAAGCAATCAAAATCGCTAGATTAATGATAAAAATATCGTCAATGCGATTCGCGGAGCATTGCTATTAAAATTGTTGAACGATTTGCGATAAAAGGATCGCAAATTCATCGAGTAAATCATCTTCGATTGATCGATGAACAAGTCGTCATCGGGAAGAGGATGATCTGTCAGGAGACGAGTCGCCACCTCCTGAGAGCATACCATATGCGATGAAGAGCCACCTCTTGTTGCATGGACTTGAGGATGAAGTTCCCTAACATACCCCCACCTCTATCCAACTCCTCTCCGTCAAGTGACAACCGCCAAAGAGCTGCAAAGTCACCGTTTTTTTGCTCCGCCGAGTGACAGCTGCCGGAGACGATTCGACAACCCACTTCATTGATCTCTAGACTTCGCAAAGAGATCTAGAGCTTGCCCACGTCGTCTTTGTCCAAGGAGAGCCTTCAAGGCCATGAACACTGCACGATGATCTTCTCGAATGCTCAAGATTCCGATGCATTGTCGACGCATCGCTGTCGCGATGTCAGAACTCTATTTTTTTACTTTCAACTTACTTTACACTTCATTTAGTGATAATTTGTGTGATTTTAATTTACCAAAATATACTTCGTTTAATTACGATTTTTCTAGCTTTTACAAATCTTAATTTGATTAATTAAATCATCTGTAATCACTTATGTAAAAATCACCTGACATAACTCTATTTTCGCCCAATTCGCGTTCATCGGGTGTTGACATCATCCTGACGTCCACACCCTTATTTCCCTTTTTTGTGAATTTAAAATATATTTTATTTTCATTTACTAGTATAAAATTCACAGAAAATAGTATTCTTTGTGAAAAATTCTAAATAATTACCAGATATTATATTACATCTTTTGATTGACTTGGAAAATTATTGCTATTTTAGAAGTTTTATTGAATTATAATTGATATATTTATTTAGAAATACTTCTAAATATTCAAAAATTCATATTTTCTATTTTTATAAATTTTATATTTATGTGATTTAATATACAATGATTGAGTCATGTCCATGACCTTTCTACAATGTTTGAACATTTTTTGTGAAGATTCAGGACTGATGCACAGAAGTGTCCATTGTATTCTTTCTCCCGTGGGATCAATCACCAAGAGTACTTTCTCCGTGTCTTGTAAACTAGCTTAATGTTCCACTAGCACAACGTACCTTATCTCATCATCTTGTTTCATATCTTTACCCCAGGATTTTGTCATGCAGGTTGCGCTAAGGCTCATTCAGATCCTGTCGTTTGCTTTGGGAGCCACAATAATTGAGCTCTAATTGTCATCGAACAATACTGTGGTCTCTCTGGATGTCGACATCTGTTACTTATACTTCCAAAATAACTACGACATAAACAATCTTGTCACATAAGTTTGAACGTGAAAGGATTGTGATTAAGTGGACGAAATGAACAAACACTCATGTGCACTAATTGACTTTCCTCATGGTTGCTGAGTCTTCCTGGGAGAGTGCAGTCTGCATAAGTTTTGAATGCAATCTTGAATTCAGAAAATCAATTTTTGAGGTTAATATTGAACCTTTGATAAAACACTTGACCTGGTGAAATCTGAAGGCTTATCCGATATTCTTGCATTACTACCCCTGCCTGCCCACCAAACTCATGAAATATCTAAGGTCCACTTAAACCAAGAACTTTTGCCTCCTGTACTAATTAGCACGAAAAAGAAAGAGTCAAGGTAATGCACAAAGATTCCATCTATAAATGGTGTTTTATTTTTGTGAAGCTTTGGCTATGCTTGCTCTAAGCAATCAGTGAGACCTCAAAAAAGTAGACACACCCCCCTTCTGGGGCTAACTAATAACTCAAAACCCTTCTCCTTTAATTTTGTGTTTTCCGACCTCATTCCATCTAATTTCATGCATGCATCAAGCAAGATCTTATTTCAGTTAGTGTTCATGACTAATCTCTAGAATCTCATTATGATAATAATGGATCGCAAGGTAATAAATTGTTGTATTTGAAGGTATGATCCGCCTTGATCAGGTCATAGGTCAACATTAGTTCAACTAAACAATAACATCTTCAATGGATAAAATAAGGGTTCAATGCAAATTATGCATGTATCAACCAGACTTAGAACACAAAGATTAAGTTGGGAAAATCCCAGTGTAGTGATGAATTTCTATCTTATTCGTCCAAAGTCTCCTTGAAGACCCATTAACAAGGGTTTCTCTCTCTAATGGACTCTAGACACTGATGGTGTTTTGATCACCTTCTTGATGATGTTAGCCAAATGATGTGAGCCTCTAGTCTATTGTTCATTGCTGCTTTCATCCCATCTGGAACATTTTTGCTGTCATCTTCTCAATGTGATATTGATTAAGTTTTATTAAATTAATACTTAATCATTACAAAATAAAAATGTAATTTTAGACATTTTAACAACAAATACATGTATGACACTTTCGTCTTTGACTGGTCAATTTTGCCAATTTAATAGTAAATGAAACTTACGAAGTGTTTGGCCAATTCTCATTTGTGAACCTTGTGAAATCTGGATATTGTCACCTTAATGCACAAAATAACACATCCATATACAAAGGTCGCAATACTTTTTATGACATATCAAATTAAAACATCATGGCGCCTGAAAAGTAAATCAATTTAGATGCACTTCTGAAAAGGGAAGCCTATGGAAAGGAAATAGATCACAAAATTGGTGTAACACAGAGTTCCGCTTATTCATGTAGTGTCCTCTTTGTTCAAGCTTTCTTTTCCATCTTGTCTATGTTTAACTTGTCAGAGACAGCTACAAGAAACTCTCTTCCCATGTTGACTGACCCCTTGCAAGTGCGTCGATAAGAATCATTCTGCTCTACTAAAATCGTGCACATCCGTCAATTATATTATATAAATTTAATAACTCTTGAACTAATTATGTAAGGATATTTGCTTGAACGTGAATAGATTCTGATTTTGACGACAAAGGAGAAAAGCATCCCTCTCCATGTGGATGGTATGCATAGGGCTGCTAGAGCTTAAGCAACATTGTGAAATCTTCCCCAGATGATGTTTGGCATCCAAACACCAATCTGGCATTTTGATCTTATGAGGTTGACGTCTTCTGTCCCACAGCACACTTTTCACAAAATCAAAGACACAGTCACAATGAAGAGGTCCCATATATTGTCAAATGAGCATGGACCAAACGACAGAGGATAATAAAATAAGGCCATCAAGAGCATTTTTTTTCTTAGGCTTTTGTTTGGCCTGTTGTGAACAATCAATGGGGCCCCAAAGAGTAGGTCAACAGCCAATCTCCATAGTGATCTCCCTTCTCATTTAGATATCCACAATGCTGTTATAGTTCACCAATAACTGAAGTGAATTCTCTTATTTTTGTCTTACTCAATTACAAGGCAACACTTGCCAACTGCATTTGAACATAGTTAATCCTCCAATATTGTGGGCCTTATTAATGACATTGTTATGCGATAAGATACGGACTTGAAAATATGAGAATATCAATAAAAAAGTAATACTAAGATTAACCTAGATTTATTGTCGCTAGTCTAGGAAAAAGTATCTACCATGAATAAGAGGTGAAGAACACCAATGTTTGCAAAGATGTGGGGTGGGTGCAGGAAGGACAAGGATCACAATTGTTCCTAATAGATAGGAGCTGAGAATAAAGATTTAAGGAGGCAAATGATGACAAAATAACAAGTAGAAAACTAATACAAAAGAAGAGAAGAGTAGATAGAGAGTGGCTAGCTGAAAAACTATGGCAATCTGATTACTACAAAGATCTTGTCTCATTGGGTTACCATTTACCTCTTATAAATTTTTAAGAATAAATATGTATGCATAGGATCACAATAACAGCAGAAACTTAATTTCTGAATATCAATGAGAGTAAATAAAAGAGAGAAATCACCAAGCTATCAAGAATTGTAATGAGAACAAAACTTCTACCAAACATCTTAAATTCTCGTCTCAATGTCACTGAGACGACTCACACACTAGAGAGTTAGTAATGTATTCTTATCTCTTTCTATAAAGACTTCTCCTATAATAAAAAAGAAAAGAGAGACCAAAAAAGATATAGAGAGTTGATGGAGAGAGAATTAAATCAAATGAGAGAGAGAGAATCTCATTGTACGTCATACTTAAAAAAAGGAAAATGCATGCCCTATTTATAAAATAGAAAAAGTAAACGTCCCCTTTAAATGAGGCATCTCAACCTATATGCGAGCAAGCCCACACATCTCAGAGGTGATGGTTTCAACCTCCCTCTCTCCCTACATGAGCCCCAAATGGGTCAAAAGAGAAGAGGTGACAACTGTCTCTCTCTCACTGCACGACCCTCGAATGGGTCAGATGGTATGGAGTGACAACCATGTCACTGCCCCTGGCTCCTTGCACATCCCTCCAGTAAGTCAGAAAAGAGAAGGTTTCTCCCAAATGGGTCAGCCGTGATGAGCTGACACTGCCAACAAGATTAGATATCCATGAGGTTGCCATGGTGATCAGAGTTGTGAAAGAGTTGTGTTTGGGAGAGACCCACTTGGCTGCATGGTAGTAGTCCATTAAACTGCATTGTACCTTCACTAACAAATAATTAAAATAATTACAAGATAACTCATAGGAATATCGCTCTGAAGATCTGGGTTAACATTAAGAACTGCTTCCCACTAGCTCATACACTCTGGTAAGTGTTCTCTATTAAAAAACAGAGGGTTTTTTTAATCCGCTCTCGCAGATGATATCTGATTGAGGTCAGTCCATGGTTTGTCATTGTTGGCTACGTCATCCTTGTGTTGCTTTGAATGATAGATCCACGATACATCTCTCATTCTTTTTCTCACTCTCGTTTTCAAATGGCCATTTCCCATCGTTTCTGAATGGAATTTAGTAAGTATTGACCTATTATTATTTTTGATCCCCTGAAAACACATTTACGATTACATCAATCACTCACCCAGATCTGAAAGTCACAATCTTTTCAATGATCTCTCAAAGTAAAAAATCCTTATTGACAATGAAGTCGACCTAAGAAGCATTCAGAGCTCTACAATAATCCATAACAGATTTCAGAATGCATTTTTCGATAGTATCCCGGATGGGGTCTCAATAATTTGTTATCGAGAATTTCATCAAGATATGAACTCAAAGAAAACGTGGGATACTTACGATTCTCCGATTAGATACCCACATGAATTATTCATATGATTTCAACTAGGAGTGGCAGCCATTTTACGAACTCTGTTGTGCGGCTGGAATCCCTTGGAGGAAAACGTATATGGCCACTCGCCTTCCCAGTTGCCCGGCGGATCTTAGCTGCAAACGAAGAGTTAGTTGCCGGAGCCGCACCGGACGCAGCCAAGCCTCTTCGTGTTCCGCCACACTACCTCACTATAGTGACCGCAGACCTCATTAGGCTGGCACGAGTTGCTGTCGTTGTCGTAGTACTACCTCGCGTCCACCCACGACTGCACGGCATCCTTGGCGTTGTAGACTCTCTCACCCAGCGAAGAAGAAGTTGTCGCCATATGGCCACTAGGAGTGCTCAGGGTTTCAGTCACTGGCCCTCTGCTGGGCACAGCGCTGTGCGTACGCCAGGAGACGAGAGCCCCAGGTGAGAGGTCCCACACACCGCCTCCTGTGTGGCGTTGTGCGGCCTTAGGAGGGGTCGAGTAGAGCGAACCTGAGGCAACCACGAGGAGCGTTACCGACAATGGCATCCAGTGTGAGACATCATTAGAAAAAGCGAGACATCAATCGGCACCGCCTCTTTTCGTTCTCTCCTTCACCCGGTGCTGAGACATCAATCGGCAACCCAATTCCCGCGTAAGAAAAAGCGAAAGAAGAAAACTGGCCACTCATTAGAAGACGACAACGCCCAAGATGTGGAATCGAATCACCTGAAAAATATTGTTCGAACGCGTGTAGACTGTATACTAAAGGTGGATCCACGATGTGGGAAGTTTGCAGAGTTTTAGAAAAACCTTTACTACAGAGGTGACACCTTTCTTTGGTTTTTCCTGTTTACGTCGCGATGTCATGCGCCCATCTTTACGGAATAAATTATATTGCTACCATCAAGAGGTGAAAACTAACACATTACACAATCTCGTTGGACGCCTCCAAGGTTAAAAGATGATGGTAACTATTTTATCACAGTTACCTGGTGGGAAGTGTGAACCACCATTATCAGGCAGATAGATAATTCAGAGGAGCCCGTATTTCCAATAGAAAACTTCTATGAGACACACAGAATTGATTCCTGCCTTCGAGTTCCTTCTATGAAGTCCGTCATAATACCATTCCTTTATAATAAGGTTCTTACCATCCTGCGTCACGAAAAGGAACGTCTACCATATTAATTTTCCCCATCTAATTTGTACTCCCTGAATCCAGAACCTGACAACCAGGTTATTTAGAAATTTAATCTCTGTCTGAAGCACATCGTAATCGACGTGCTGGATAGCTATCGATGTCCCTCCTTTCAAACTACTACATTTCAGATGACTTGAACCAAAACCAACCTAAGAGAACAGAACAGTCTGTGGCATTTTTAGTATTCAAGCCTGCGAATGAATCAACACATCAGAATGGTTGAATGATATCTCCGACTCCAAACTTTTCGAAGTAGATCTTCTCATTCGAGTTTTTTACCTCTTATTTCAGTACAACCATTGTATCCCCATCGTTTCCCTTCCAAGTAAATCTACTTCTGTTTATTATGCAAAACTTGCCTCTGTTTAATCATTATCTTCCT